TAACACTGTATTGTACTTCGAATGTTCTCAGCAGCAGTGTTGTAAACGCCAAAAGCAGTCGCAGCGCCGCGTGCGCCATGTTGGGAGCTTCTTAAAAGGCTCGGGCCGAGATGCTTCACCACCATCATCATCATCATCATCATCATCACCATCATCATCGTCGTCATCGTCGCCATCACCATCACCATCACCATCCCCATCGCTCTCGCCATCACCATCATCATCATCACCACCATCATCATCATCATCATCACGACCACCATCATCATCATCATCATCATCACTATCCCCATCATCGTCATCACCACCATCATGACCTTCTTCTTCCCCCGCGGCGAGAACAAATCCTCGTCCAGCGCGCGCCTACAGTGCTTCGGAACGGCCGATCTTCACGGCATGGCACGGATACCTTCGGATGGCTTACTTGTTCAAATCAAAAGTGAGAGTGCCCATACGCTATACAAAAGTGCACTCGTCAAAAGGATGTTAAGAAATTGATGGCCACTCAGATCTTCATTCGGAAGTAACGATCAATGCGCCTGGCACTGGTAGCGGAGCTGTCGTTCTCAGCCTTCAATCCAACGAATGAAGGTTAGATTGAAGGCTGAGAACGACAGCTCCGCTACCAGTGAGGGCGGGCATTGATCGTTCATCACCATCACCATCACCGTCAGCATCATCGTCATCACCACCACCATGACCATCACCGTCACCATGACCGTCACCATCAGCATCATCGTCATCGTCATCACCACCGTCTTTGCCATCACCATTACAATTACCATCACCAAAAACATGTCATCGTCCACCGCGAAGAAATTCCTGAGTGCACGCGGCATGTCTTAACTGTGATGTGCTCGAGAAAAATCCAACTGGATCCGGCACGCTAGTGATGAATGGACTGGAAGGGTGTCTCGGCGCTCAACAGGAGGAATCGTATCCTGCAATCCATCAAGAGACTCGCTCGCAACCCTCTGAAAGCCCGACCTTGGAATATTTCAAAAGTCGTGAAACCCATTGCTTGGTGGAGCCAGCGAAGCGTCACTTTACTTTCCTCTCGACACTATCGACAAGCCTGTGCTATGAACTTCATGTACTGCCAGTGTGGCTAGCTAACTTTCCCGGGACCTGTAAGTAGACCTTCACATGTCTCAGAAGCCAATTCCTAGACTTTTGCTTTCTGCAGCAGGCCGTCCTGGATGGTAGATGGTTGCAGGATCCCAACTTCGTTCAGGCGAGGCATGGCGTTCTGTTTTGGAAGGGGAAGCTCTGGTCACCGGAGCCTGCCCTGAGCTCTTTTTTCGGGTAGGCTGGACGTGTCGGTTGCTTAGGGTGGGGATGATTCGATTCGCGCGGAAGCCTTCGAAGCATCATTGAAAGCCTTGTGAATTCTTGGAGCCTGACTGCTCGTTGTCTGCTTGATCGTCAAGCAGTGCTTGAAGGATTGCTATGTCTGCTATGTGTAGCTGTCTGGTGAGGTGAGTCGCAACCTCGCGGCTTCAGACGATCAAGTGACCCCAAGCGGACCTTCTCGGGCGCTTGAGTTGCCAAGAAGCGTCGAGGGGAATCAAGTCATCTCCAACGACGAGCCTGAGTGACTTGACTCGACATGGCACTGCCCACTGGTCGTTGGTGCACGTTCATCAAGCAGTGCCAACAACTTCCCTCTTTGATTCCGAAGCGCTTGGTCCAATTTGTCACCGGCCCCAACCATTCTGGGCTAGGGATAGTTTCGGCTCACAGAGTATGCTAAGAACTCAGGGGTCCCATCTAAAACTGTGCTAAGGACTTCTGTCAAGGAGCCTGTTTGTCTTGTTTCGGGACTTCTGTGGGCCAGAGCAAGAGCCGTCACTGTCAGAGGAGCAGGTGAGCACGAGCGTGTACCCAATGAGGTCACCGTAGCACGTAGCTAGGAGCAGGTCCTCCCGTGGTGGTTCAGAGACGGATCCTGATGGAATGAATTGAAGCGCTTCCATTTCTTGTTCTCAAAGACCTGGTCCAGACAGAAGACGTTATGGCCGAGCCGAAGGTTCAGCTTTAGTGTTGGTCGACGAGTTTCTGAAGCTGCGAGAAAAAAGGTTGATGGTTCTGTTGTCCTTTGCAGGCAATGGAGTTTGGCCGCTTGTGGCACAGATCAAGACTCTGCAGGACCATGGATGGTCGTTGCTCGCCCCAGGGTTGGCCAAGGGACGAAGGTTCCGTCAGCTGCCGCTACTGCGTCCGCGAGTCTTCCATTCAGGCTCCGACAGGTATTGTCAACATGGGACAGCTTGATTGGCTTCGTTCAACAAAGTTTGTTGTCGGCACAAAGCTGCATTCATCAAGATCGCATGAGCTTCGAGCTTCTGTAACTAAAGCTACCACTGAAGCTCCACAGACATTCACTGACTTCGCATGACTTTTCAGCATTGTTCGAGACGAATTGCTCGAAAGCATGAGTTTCTGCTTGGACCGGATGTTGCAGGCATGTTAGCTGTCTGTCACTTTCGCTGCTCATTTTCTGTTCTCGAACCACTTTGATGAGCTTAGTTCCAGAAAGTTGTGCATGGTGCGCCAGAACCTTGTCCATGTGTTCTTTGGACTGGCATTTGGCCACGGCATGTTTTCTCGAGACCATGCTCGGCAAAGGTAAAAGAACAACTCTCTTCAGCTAGATTCTGTGTTTGGGTTTGATGCATGTTCCATGGAGTTTCGGGCGATGCCATGTCACCGCCGCCCGAACAAGTTCGAAGTGTTTTCGACAAATTCAGGAGCTTTAGGTGTTCATCTTGTTCGTCGGTCAGCTTGGGCAGTTGTGGATGGTAGCAGCGGGTTGGGGTGGCGTTGAAGTGTCTCATTTCGTGTTTATGTCCAGTTTGGAAGGAGTGGCGTGAAGTCCGCTGATGGTCGGCGAAGGAGTCCACCGCATGTGCGGGCTTCCTCGAGCAAGTGATTCGGGTTCGGGTATCTGTGTTTCATGCTGTATCCTGCATGGCATGGCTACTATTCTAGCAGCTGTTGTTACTCTTCTGTGCAACGGCGGATGGATGGAAGCAGTTCCAGGAGCTCCACCCTCGGCAGCCGAGCCGCTTGTCTGTTGGCATTCCTGGGTGTCAACCTGGGTGGCCGATATTGTGGAAATCTCGAGGAATCTTGCGGTTCTTCCGCATTGGGCGCTAGACTGCCTCACACAGACTTTGTGTCTGGCAGTCAACCTCGGCTGTTCAGAGCAGGTGCATTCAATTGTAGCAACTGTAATAATATACTTTGAGTGGACACGCCATGTTTTGAATGTTGGCGTTTGTCCACGTTTGGTTGCGACAGTGAAAATTCAACGATCAGGTTTCGACGACGGTGTCCACGTCCCCCTCGGCAGACAGCCCTAGAAGTCCGAGGTTCAGGCCGTGCTGGGTTGGGTTTCAGGACCTTCGATCCGGAATGGGGCTTGACGGTTGCTGCCGGAGCGGAACAACTGGGACACGCATGTTTCCAGCCGAACCTCGCCACTGTGCCAGGCACAGTTCTGAACATTCTGGTCGTGCCACCGCCTTTCTCAACCAATGGGTACCCTCCGCACCGTATTGTTGAGCCACGGAATGATCAGTTGCATGGCTGCCTCATGGAAGCGGTATGAAATGGTATTAAAGTGCTGACTTGCCGTATCACGCGCGAAGCGTGCCAGGAAAAGCAGCGCACTCGACTGCGGGCAGAAATTAAGGCAGCCAACATTCGCTTCTCTTGGGGTTGCCACCATCCTGACACTGTTCTGGTTCAATGTGTTGTTGCAGGACTGGACAAGTCGCTTGCAGAAGACAGGTGACCTTGCTTCCACTGCTGGAGGTGGCATCCTTGTTCCTGGTGCATGGGTCATGTGCTGTAGGTCGAGCATTCATTGTCGGTTGGGTTTTCGCCAGTCAAGATGTTGAAGCATTGGCGCTTACCTGTACAGGCCCCGAACTCGTGTCCGTCGAGCCAATTGTGTCACTTGGTGAAGATCTCCATCAGCGGACGAATGGCTCCAATTACAGGCGCGACAGGGCCTCCCATCGTCGCAGGTAGTTCGGCGAAGAATGTCGGCAAACCCTGGATTGGCATTTGGGCCCTGATGTTTTTGCCGTCAGGGCGCGCTTGAAGCTGCAGTGTGAGGACTGCGGTAGTTTCGAAAGCTGTTCGAGGTAGCTCTGCGAGTGCGCAACAGGATCTTTCCTGTGTCTCAGCCTGGTGCAGCAGGATGGAATCCATGCTTGGAGCACCGAGCCATTCACGCACTGCTCTTGGATTTCCAGTTCCAGGAATTCCTGACGATTGTTGGTTGACCTGCGTGGCACCGCAGCATCGCACCTGCGCGGAACTTTGAATTGCAATAGATTTCTGCAGAGAAGCTTTGCATCAGATCTGAGGCTCGATGAGTTAGTGCGAATCGTGGTGAGGAGCTGACTAGCCGTCTGTGGAGCAAGACGGTCTTCTAGCGGCAACTCGCACTCGTCTTCGGTGGGTGTTGCCATAATCAATCCTTGATGCGATCCGTCCAGCACGAGGACGAGAGCCGCTTCGGCCACTCGGTGGTGCCGATCGAACAGAGAGGTTGCGGGGGGTGGGTGACCTCCCGTGCGACATGTAGCCTAAGCTCATCACGATGGTGTTGAAGTGGATGATCAGCAGACAAGGATTACGCTGACGATTCTCAGGATGATTGGGAGGGTGCCCATGAAAAGGACGATGTTGCTGATTTGATGCTTCGATGAGATGACGATGATGATGCTGTGGGGTAAGTGGTGATGGTGACGATAACGATGATGCCACTGCTTACCGAACTAATGTGGCTGCTGCTTCACGCTTGTAACTGCTAGTACTATCTAGTACATTTAGTCTTGCTATCGTCACTGCTACCACAGCCTCATCATGATTATGGTTGTCATCCTCATCATCACCATGTTGGCTTCGATCCTCATCCTGCTCCCCATCTTCCTCACCACCTCTTGTCATCCTGGTGTTCATCATCAGCCATCAGTATCGTCGCCAGCTGCTGCCTCTGCTGCCGCCATGAAAATGTCGACCGACACCGACAGCGCAATCATGTCGACAAACTCTGTGCGCATCGAGCCATCGACCAGGCGATCGCTTCCGGTGCCGACCCCTTCTGGGCTGTGGCCGCTTGGCTTTTGCCAAGCTCTTCGGACGGGAGCGAGGAATGGATTTAATGTGGGAACTGACGCGGATAAATCGGAGAAGTGCATGTAGACAGACGGAAATTTGCCAAGCGATGATGGCCAACTGTCACGGCACCTTGGCGCCCTGGCAGGTAAGTGTGGCCAGCTGTGCTGTGCAGGACCTAGCTTCTCAGTGTATTCTTGCGTTGCTGGGCTGCCGCAAGCTTCACCGAAGCTTATTGTCAATTGCAGGACTCTGCTTGCAGCGGCATTGTAGATATTGTGGCATTGTATCCGTGGACCTGCATGTCTATCGAACAACGACTAGGTCGTCCCGTGGACCGAGCAGTTCCCTTCAACATGGATGCTTCAAGGTCAGAACCTTCCTGTTCTGGGCTTTCCTGCTGTGGGCTTCCTGGCTGCTCGCCCAACCTCTGAGGCGTCTGGATGCCACTGCCAACTTGATCCAATTGAACTCTGAGCTCATGAAACAACACATGTCATCCTGTTTGGTACTCATGCGTATCAGCAGCACACTATTGAACAGAAGAAGATCAATTTTCATGAGCTCGATAAAGTATCACGTGAGTACGGCAGCTATCATGAGTTGAGCAAGCGCGTACATGTCTTGCAGGAAGCAGGTGACCACTTTTGAATGCTGGAACATTCCATGGTGTGTTTTGCTTCGCATTTCACCTGCACGAGCCTGCACATTGCCATTGTCAGGCCTTCTGTGCGCCGGCCAGCCTTTACAAGACACTGTGCAGCTTGATTTTTTGTGATCTTGGCATGGGGAAGGTTAGTCAGAAGGAAGGTACAGTACCAGATACAGGCTGTGCATGCTTTGGAGTCCATCTCCAGGTACGCCAGTCGCTTGTGCTTGTGTCCTTGGTGACAGATGCTCCTGACATGTCCTTGCCTTGGTCCTTGGTCACTGGATGGGAAGGGTTGACAGCGGAAGTTGTGCTTGGAAGGCTCTCCGCGCTGGAGCCGCTGATTGCCCTGCTCCTCTCGTTCGCGATCGGGATCTTCGGAGCACTGCTGTTGCCCGGCTTGGTACAGGGTCTTGCGAGTGGCTTTCAATGCTACGAAAATGAGTTGTCTTCCAACCCAAGGATGGCTGGATTGACAGAGGTTTCTTTCATCCCTGCGAAGGCAAGATGGAGTGATCGAGAGGCATCCGAGCTTGCGGGGATCCAACAGCCCCACCTGCAGGCCATCCTGAACCTCGAGCGCAAGGCACCTCTTTGCACCGACCCCTCGACCTTCGCTTTTGGCCTTCGGATGCGGTCGCCAGGCAGAGACGGAGAAGGTGCGGGAGCAGCTTGCGCTCTTGCTCCGCAGCTGGGTGCCCACATCTTGTGGTCCTTGAGAGACTGTGTGACACGGAGCTTGGCTGCCCGGAACCTGGCTCTCACAACGTTGTATGCCTTGCTGCAATGAGGTAAAGACTGCCTCCGTAATCTGGACATCTGCAACTTCCTGTCTTTGGGTAGCTCGGCCATTTGGATGTTGCGAAAGCCTCTCACTGTGTGCAGTCTGCTTTTGCAAGGCATGGCAACTTACTTCAACTCCTCTGAGACGCACAAGGTGCTCACCCCAGGGGCCACTATTTTCAGTGGGGAGCATGAACTTTCATGGGAAACTGAGATGGCTGGGACGGTTAGGATACTCGGCTTCAACCGTCGAGTAGTTGGCGGCTAGACCCAGGAGGGGCGATGCTTCGTCCGAAGGCATGAGACAACCGAGGAGTTTGAAGAGTCTGGGGTGCAGAGGGTTCAAAAGGCCGTTGTGTGATATGGTTTCCAGCGCCTCGTGAATGGCCGAGGATGCTTGCAGTCGGTTGTGAGTGCTGTGCATGAAACTCGAAGTGCACTGGCATTCAAGAAACTGCGCCAGCTGTGTCTAGCGGGAGCCATTCTCGAATTCTCGAATTCCCGGTTCGGAACTGCAGCGACCAATGCAGGACTATTTCATGAACCGCCGTCGACAGCGCTGCTCGCTGTTCTGTGCAAGCTTCAGCAGCTGAAAGTCGTCTGTAGCATTTGTGTCGATGCGTGTACCCATTCAGTGCAAGTGCATCAAGCGAGGTCTTCGTTGCGATTTCCGCCTCGAGCTGGCGCGGAGAAGAGGGCTCCAGGACAGTGGCCACGTCACACTATTATGCTACTATGCCCCTGTGCAGTCCTTGCTTCCATGGAGCTGCTATTCTGTCTCCAGGAGCGGTGGCTCGTCTTGCGCAAAGATGGGATCGCCCTTTTCTCCTCGCTCATGGACACTGCTTGCAATTGAGCTTTTCAGGTAGTCAGGGCTGTAGTCCACTTGCCATCACTCCACGTTGGATTTCTCCGTTGCAGCACAGCACCAGGACACGGATCCCACGGACATGCTTTTCTTTGACACAAGCTTCGCCTTGAACCCAGAATTGTACCGACCGCAGTGGCACAGTAGTGTGCTTCGCCCGGCTTCAGAGCATTCGGAGAAGGGTTTTCAGAATCTTCAGATTCCGAGAGTTCAGAAAGTCCTCCCCGGTTCTTGTTTCGCATTGCTTGGTGTGGATGCTCCTCAGCGACTAGGCAAGCCACAGATCCCGGCGGTTTGAAGTATCTGGATGATTGCGTCATGGAGATGTGGCAGGTTAGCGAACTCATTCCTTGACGGCCGAGGCTTTGTTTCGAGATGAGGAGGAGAGACATCCCCGTCTGTACAGTCTGCACCAGTTTTTTCGTGTTCCTTGTCATTATGTGGGTTCATATCTGAGGCGAGGAGCCGGGTCGGATTTGAGAGCTAGCCCTTGAGCTGTGGGCTGCTAAGCGGTTTCGAGGGCCATACAATGTTCTGGCAAGGCCCACAGCTGCAGATGCAGCATCGGCGTTTTCGGACGGGACCAGTCATTTACTCAAGCTCTAGAAACTGTAATTCGCTATTCGGACCAATACTATGGTCACACTGTGAGGCTCCTACGTTACCGTAAGAGTATGTAAAAGTTAAGCAAGAAAAGTGATTCAGAGGCGTGCTCGGCAGTGGCCGGATGGTCCCGCAGCTCTCACTGTAGTGCGGTGGACTTACATGAGGCCTCAGCAGCCATGATGACCTTCCTGATCCTTCCTGTATGCATCAAGCCGCTGTGGGCTGCCAACTGTTTCTGCACATGAGGCCGCTGGGGCTGCCAGCCCGCACCCCATATTG